ACGGAAACAAAAAAGCAAAGCGTCCCGCAAATTGCGTTTTGTTGGCACAAAATTCGATATATTCAATGCTCAAGAAAACAATGTTGTTTACACTTTGGCAAAACATATTGAAACATATTGAAAACATATTGAAAACTAAAGCCACATGATCGTGCTTTGACATGAAGATAGCAACAATTTGGCCCGATGCGATATAGTACTAGCCATCTCTTGAAAATCCTTTAAAATTAATACACATTCCCAATATTAAGTAGATTCACATGGTGCGCTCCCCATTGCAATCCCGAGATTGCTTTTATTATGGATAATTTAACCCTTTTTTTAAATTCTAAATAATGAGCGCGCCACGACAAAATTTTAAAAATCTCACAATTTTCACCAGCAGGAAGAGCTGATTCAGCATTTGAATCAGGATGTTCGGATTGACGTTGTCAAACGCTCCCTGAATATCCAAGAACAAAACCCTTGTGTATGCGTTTTTAGAGAAGCCATTTTTGATAGCAGACGAGAGTAAAAACAAATTGTCCATTGTGGACTTTTTTTCTTGAAACCAAATTGAAAGTTTGCAAAAAATCTGTTTCTCTCAAGCCACTACGTTAATCGACGAAAAATTATCCTTTCGAATAGTTTGAGGAGACAATTTGACATAGAAATCGGTCTTATGGACCTGGAATCTGACTTAGGAATAAAAACTATGTAATAATCAGCCCAGGAATCTGGAAAAGCACTCTTTTGAAAAATTTTATTGACAATTTTGTGCAGAATTTCTAAAACCGCAACTAGAAGTTCGGAAATTATTTTATTTGAAACAAAGTCAGGTCCGGAGACCGATTTACGGTTGAAAGAAGCAACCTCGTTAAAAAATTCTTCTCTACTAAATGGAACAATGATCTCCCCGCTGAGTGGAGAAACCGACTCTCGAAGAGCTGCGAAATCTTCAAATTGATGTGAAGTACGCAAGGCTTCTAATATGGAATCCTCGGGTAGAGTCGACCCAGAAGAGATTGGATTGATCGGTACTACTTTATCAAACGTTGTTTCCGCAGCACCAACTTGGGCTTTGAAATCCAATTTTACAGCGCCCGTCTATTTTTAAAGGCCCTCAGCGTTCTCCACATTGTAGCGGAGCTAGTACGTGGGTTGATCACAGGTCCTAACCCGTCCTCTCCCATTATCGCTCAAAGTCCAGTCCCGAGTGAAGAGATTCAGTTCTCTGACTCAAAATCGGACCGCTCGCCGTATGTCGGGCTAGTAAAGTGATCCTTCTAGTCGTTGACTAGCTCTTCGACCTATAAGTACAGGTGAGACTTTCTTTACGTTGCGTTCTCCTACAGGACGTAACAAATAATAGATGGAAATTACAGTAATCGTTTTGCTGTTTTTCACAGAAACCTCCACCGAAATAATGTCTACATTATTTTCTGAACAGATAATCTCTAGGTCGTAGATTTTTCTTATCGCGTACACAATATTATGACTAATAAGCATACCGATTCCCTCGCCGCTAGATACAGGCCTGGGAGAGTTAATAAAAGAGTAACCCTTATTGGGCATATATATGTAGTTATTAGGGCAGGTGAAATTCTCGTCTCCGACATGCATATCAAATCGGGAGACAGGTCATTAATAAGAACAGTTATGTCGTTCGTTCTAGTCTTCAGAGATCGAACGTTTCAATGAATTAAAGCAAGATTGTGATTTTCCTTAGTTTTTCTTCTACGAGCCATTTTTATTTATCTAAGATATTAACGGAGAAAAAGCTAACTAAGTCCGTGAAACGACTTGAGCTCAGATATATTTGATTTTTTTAAAGAAAAAGGTGGAACATTAAAATCAGAATCTGATACAGAGCTTAATTCAGGTAAATAAAAGTTATTTTTTAGAAAATTGAGCAAAGATTTGGTCATTTGAACGCTTAACTTACTCAAACAATGGTGGAGCTTCTGGTTGAAATTTTCCACAGAGATCACCGGATAAACTTACCGAGAAACTTACTCATTGCTACTGTCTGCCAGGTTGACTCCTCCCAAGGAACGAGTCGCCCTATCAACCAAGGATGCTCATTCCCGAGGATGAGCAACTACTCTCGATCCCAACAGGTTTACGCTTTTGGACGGACCTTCAGTTGGACCTGTTGATTTAATCAACTATAGTACTATTCCTATTAATAAAAAGCTTCTTTTTTCGGCTCTTTTTTTTAACAACGTGCAAGGTGGATAAAAATTTCGGATGATTAGAAACAGTCTGCGGGGGAGAAGGAACTAGCAAGCTATTTAAAGAGTTATGTGATTTATCAATTTTGGCAGTGCCCTTACCTTTTTTTACATTGAGTTTTTTCAAAATTCCAGCAAATGTTACAGCCGCAGGCTTCTCAATAAGATGAGGCCAAAAGTCCTCTAAAGTTAAAGAAGGACCATTAGAAGCCTCTTTTTCCCCCAAGTTCTCCAAACCGCTGACGCGAATAAAATCCTCCGCGTCAAGCGGACCAAGGCAGTGTACAGCCATAATACGTCTGATATGTTTGTTATGTATAAAAAATGGACAGTTATTGCTGAACACGCTATGGTTCGATCCGGCAAGCTTGTCTCTCACAATTTATGCATAGCATCAGCGGAGATGTACAGGACTTAGCTGATTTCGCGCATTTACCGCATATAACAGGATCCGATATTTTTTTACACGAGAATTTTGAGTGACCATATCTCAAGCAATAATCGCATCTCATTACTCTGTCATTGAAAGGCCTCAACAAAATTCTTTTTCCCAACAAGTACACGAAAGATGGAAGACAATAATTTTCGAAGGTCGCTACAGCTAAGTTAGAATCAACCAACCTAACTCCTCCCGGAGCAGAGAAGTCAGGAATTCTTTTTTTCAGGTTTTCCACCGCCAAGGGGGATGCCATTCACCCTTCCAATTATGGGAAGGTCTCAGCTGAGCTCCGATAAAATCGAGCTCCAAATCCGGCTCGTCGATTCCATATAGGACAACCCTTTTTTGACCCGAAAATCAGGCTGCCCATACTTCGTCTCGAAAGAGCTTATCAGCAAGTTTAGACAATTTAGCGACAAAGGCGACACTGTCTGTAAGAAATGATATAACGAAACGGGTGCTACTACTCTTTTTTAAATCTTAAGATATTGACTTAAACATAGTAATATTTTTTTGATCATGCAAGGTTTTTGCCAACTTTAACAAGCTAATATGTGGTAATTCACTACCTTTAGGTAAATCCACCCGTTCCAAATAACCATACAAGAGCCATTGCTGTCCGGTTTATAGCGGTTTTCTATCGCTTTAGGTAAAAGTGGATATTAATAACGTATAACAGCAGTTATATTATATGTTACTCCTGTGTTATATCACAGTTATGTTTTGCGTTTGCTGGGTACTAATAATCTGTTTGAAATTCCATAATTACATCTGGTTGTTTAAATGACGGAACAGCCACACATGGTAAAACATATAGTAAAACGTATTAGAAATTTCAACATGAATCACTGAATTCCTGCCTTTGCATTTAGCACAAAGCTCTATATCATAATAATCCTGCTCAAAATTTGGTTCTACTAGTACAATTGTTAGGACATAAGAGATGTAAGAGGATTTCTCAAAATTTTAAATATTCCTTTTCTAAGGCATTTAGTGCTACCATGTGAATAATGCATTTAAATGCAAACATCTGAATTTAGTAAAGTATTTGATAACACTAGAATTGAGCATAGAAATATAACTGCTTAACAAATATTCCTGTTCATTTTTCGGATCTGTAACAAACGATCGCAAGACAATATTAAAGTGGTACAAATCTTCTTATCTGTCATGATTATTACACAAACGATATTGTATTTGAAGATGTAAAACTCCACAAATACATATAACCGTTACACTAAATAGAATGTCGCAAATAAGCTCGTCTGATATATTTATAAGTTTTTATTTTAAGTAAATTGTAAAACGAGGAAAAGGCACAACGAAAAAAAGAATGTTGCAAGTTTTGCAACTACTGTTAATAATATTGAGAAAGTGAGAGTTTAAATTATTTTTGTTTTATGTATGTCTTACTGATAAATATACGTACTAATTGTACCCAATTAGTTGTACCCAATATACGCATTTTAAGTAAGGCGCAATACTATATGAAAGAATTTGTATTATGTTAAATATTGAATTATGCCATATTAAAAGTTATAGGAAACTTTTATACAAGCTAGATAAAAAATGTTTTACAATTTAATCTCGAATTTTATTATTTTACAGCTCAGTTAGAGTACGAAACAGTAATATCCAATACAATGTCGAAAGAGGTTATTATTTGCGATTATATTCAATTTTCCATATAACATATTTTTGTATCTACTCTATACTTTTCTAAGTACTTGTTTATTTATAGGAGTTGATAAGCTATATTCCACTAAATATTATCTATTTATTATAGCGAATCATTTAATATTATGGGGAACGTAAAATTTATTAGGCTCTTTAAATTTAATTTATGATAAGGCAAACTTTTTTCCTTTACAATTCATAAAGCATTGTTACTCTGATATTTCCACATCAGAATATTCTTAATTAAAGATAGCATGTACTGTTAAAGCATTGTGTAATCGTGTTGCAACGCTCAAAAATTTCAACTTTCCGTATTTATTACGCAAATAAAATGTCCAATATATATAGATTTTAACACGTTTCAAAACAATTTTTAATAATCCAAATATGCATTGTTTTTACTGTAATATTTGCATCCTATTTTTAAATTTATATTTTTAAGCTGTTACTTTCCGATTCAAATTAAACGTACTATTAAGAAGTTTTTAGGTATTTAATATATTCGTTTATTAATATCAGTGACTATTAAATAAAAACATTGCAAGTACAACAAAAAGTGCCTTTTATTAAAAACATTCATAATTCGTTTGTACAAATAACACATATTTTATATCATATATAGAAATGTTATCAACGTAATGCTAAAATTGTATAGAAATATTCCAAATTGTTTAGTAAGGTCTCCATAAAACAATGGTGTTACGATAGACAGTTACATTACGAAAATATACTGAACCAGTCTCCAAATCCCTCCATGGTCTCCAAGATCTAAAAGAATTTTTAGCACTATGGAGAGGTTGTAAATGAGATCCTAAAATTTGTTTTAAAATAGACACGTTCTGTTCTGCTTTTTCTTCCGATGTGGTAGTTAAAATCAACGGACAGTGTCTAATCCCTGATAAAAATATGCTCCGCGAACATGTCCACTCATTACTTAAATCTGCTTGAAATTCTATAATTACATCTGGTCTTTTAAAGGACGGACGGGCTACATACATATGGTAAAATGTATTATAAATTTCAACATGAAGCATTGCACTTCCGTTCTTGCAGAAAGAACAAAGTTCTATGTCATAATGATCCTGCTTAAAATTTGGTCCTACTAGTACAATTGTTAGTTTCCTTATGTGCTGTAAGAGATGTAAAAGAATTTCCCAAGCATTTAAATATTCTCTTTCTAAAGTATTTAGTGCTATCATGTGCATAACATATTTATTTTGTTGAAATGGGTGTAGTGGATATAAACCAGCAATCTTCATTCCATAATAGAATGTTAACGGTCCTGATGCATAATCACAGTAGAAATATATAGAATATATTGCAGGTGCATTTAAGCTTTCTATGGCAGGACTCACACATGTTGTAAAAATGTATTCATGTCATAAAATGGTTCTTTTCGAAGAATAATATTAGTGAATTTTAACACAATGAATTCGCATAAAAGAACTCAGATATGCATGTTGATATACAATATAAACTGGTGGCATTTTGGCTCGTGCAAACCTTGAAATACCTATATATGGTCCCTGCAATAATTGTCCGAATAACACCTCTTGCAATGTTCCAAATTAATCTGTCTATGACAAATAGAGCATGATTTTGCAAAAAGAATCATCTGTTCTTCATACGGCTTTAGCTTACGTGGAATCCATTTTTTAATTGAGCTTAGAAATTGTTGTCTTAACGTGATCCAATTAGTTAAACTTAAAGCACAGTCTCGACGTATTTCATTCTCTCGTAAAAATCGGTTTATATATTCACAAATCTGCATATGTTGTGGACGATGCATCAATCTGTGTTCAGTAGTGCAAAAAGAAATCATATCGCACAGCTTACATTATATAAAAGATCCATTGTTTAGTTTCTTGCAGACGTGACAAGTGTTTTCGTGATAGAAGCTATTATACTTATTAATACGTAGGTGGAAATTGCTCACAACAATTACTTTAGAAAAAAACCTCATGGTGGAATATTTTGTTTGGCGTATGATATCAATTTAAAAATGAAGTGCAATGTGTAGCTTCTTGTAATAGAAATAATGTAGTTGTCTGTCCACAGCAGATTTATAACTAAGCAGTTCACAATTCAGATCTATAGCAGACGACTGTAGAAACGACATTAAGAAGCCCTTTGGTTCGCTAGTTAATATTGACTAACTGATTTGTATATTTGAAAATGTAACGAAATACGAATAACCGTTATTGAATAGAATGTTGCAAATAGACACGCATGGGATACTTATAAAGTTTCATGTAACTTGTGTATCAAAAGAAATATTGAAGAAGAAGGAAATTGAAGGCTTTTAAACAATCATTAATATTTTGTAAAAGTGAAAAAATGAATAATTGTAACTCTACATATATTTTACTAACAAATATATACAAATGGTATACATGCGTCCTGTAACAATATATATATATATATATATATATATATATATATATATATATATATATATAAAATACCGTAAAAATTGAAGAATATATTATAAGGTAATTAATAAATTACAGTTCTAAACTGGCTTCTAAACTTTCTTAATATGGATATCGATATAGTTATATTTTATATAGTCTAAGTGCATGACACCCCACAATAAAGCACAAATCTTTGTAATGTTATTCTGGAAATTAATGCGAATAAATATCCTAATACCAAATATAATATTGTAATTTCATAAAATATATTTCTTTTTTCGTTATTTCTAATAATCTATAATATATATTTTTGTAGGTATATGCTATCAGTTATAATTCCGATGAATTATATTCCACCAGATATTAACTATTAAACATGATTTTTTTATATATTATTTTATAAAATTGTAGAAAAATATCCTACGACAGATGTAATATTAGACAAAGAGAGTTATTAAAATAAATTTATATTTCGCAATATTTTATATTCTAAATGGAAAATACTTTGGAAAGACGTTATACTATTAACCCTTATAGAAATATCATACTAAGAATCATTGCTAATTACTTATTATCCAGTATTTTAATACTGAAAATAAGTAATTATCAATGATTCTTAGTATGATATTTCTATAAGGGAAGTGTATTCTTTCCCAAGCGGAATCTTTCTCGAGTTTTATCTAGTGATTAAAATATATATGGAAGAACTTCTAGAGTGAAAATCGCATTAACCGTTGCATATTTCATCACGATCCGTGTGTTCTCCCGTAACATAACTATTGTTCAGCAAGCGTGTGTGTTACTTCGTAAAAATATTCAGCATTTCTTTATTAACGTTGACAACGAATGAAAATATTAATGATAGATTGCATTATTATTTTAAAATAAAACGAAAATTTCGTCATATATTTTAAAATAAAAAATATATTTTTATACGAATAATGTAATTAATTTCTTCACGTAAATATGTCATAGTAGAATGCATGTATATGTGTATTTCTCCGCCTATCTAATTTAAATGTAATTCTTTTATATATTTAACTATTATTTTATATATTTAACTAGTAAATTAGTTAATAAAACCTAGATCTTTTAAACCAACTTTTTTCTTTTTGTTACTACTCGCTTGATATCCGTGCCTTAATTTTGGTAATATTTACGCATCCAAAGGAAATTTAACATATGTTATTAAAATATTAGGCAATGGTTTGGCGACATTGAAAATATTATAATATTTCAACTTTCTTAAATATTCTTAACTTTCTCTAGTAATTATGTAAATTATGTACACGAAAGGGTTGACCAAGGATTTTGAACAAAGGTACGTATCAAAGCAATTCTTATGTACATATTATTCGAATATTTTGCTTACATTTACTGAGGTTTATGTATTACTGAAATTTATGTAGGATTTCCAAAAACCATATATTTAAACTGTTTCTTCTATAATATTATAATTACACTAAAATGTCATTTCAACAACTTTCTATGCATCCAATGTATTCGTTTATTATTACCAGTATTCTTTAAGTAAAAACAATATCAAGTATAATCTCTAGATAAACATAAAACATATTTTACAATAGACATATTTTATTTTGCTTTTTATTCCTGAATGTATGTACATGAATGTGTGCACATCGTATGTGATACAATTGTAGAAGTGTGATAATGCTTTGGATACTATACTTATTGTGATACTTAATGCGTAAAGTAGATATTCGATTATATTTAGCACGAAATTACACAGCTGATTTTCAATCAAAACGACGCGATTTGTCTCATTTATTTATCGGTTATATATGAATTATTTCAGTAAAAAAAAAATTTATCTGGAGCATTTGATAAGTATGTAGAACAAATTGCAAAAATCATTCGAATGATATATCTGTTTATTTAGCCGTTCGCAGGAATTTTGGACATGGTCTTCTTCGCTGCTGACGTCATCAATCCAATATGGTCACAGTGACTGATGAGAAAACTTAAAGAAAAGTGCTGTAAACAAGATATTGAAAATATTTTACTATTAAAATGAAAAATTGTGCAATTATTTAGAACATTAACAACTGGAAATACACTAGAATCCGTTAATCTACTTTTATCTCGTCGAATAGAACTATATATGGGGCGATGAGGAGAAGAATTTTTTAACAATTATACCACAAATTACTCCACATTCTACATATACATATGCTTCACAAATGCATGTACCGAGTGAGTCAATAACAACTGCCATTTGGAATACCTTCGAAACAAAGTTGGTGTTACGTAGTTTAAGCGAGTCGTGCACGACTTAAGATCAGTACGAAAAAATATACACATATACGTGCATATACGAGCACGCATACGCATACGTATATACGTATATACGTATATATATGCGTATACATATATATATATATATATATATATATATATATATATATATAATCTTAAGGAAACGAAACCACCGAGTAGAATTCAGAATTTCTATTCGGAACTACAAAACATTTGGTGCCTTCTGTGAGGTGTATCTGGAGAGAACAAAAGAAGGAACAAAGACAGTTGGTTTCATACGTGCGAGGAGACAAATCGGACAGATTGGAGAAGTATCATCAAACGTGGTGAAACCCAATAACATAAGTCGTTTACTCCTAATCCTAACCTCAACCGCATAATTATGTCACAAAGAAAAAAAATCCTCATACAAAGACGAACCTCCTTAAAGTCTTAGATTACACTCCTCAACAATTTAATCGACAAAGATAAATTAGACCACGTGACGTTGAAATTACAAATTGCTCGCTTAACGGATCTGTTTTATGCTTTCGAGGATTCTAACGACGAACTCATCGTGTTAGATCAGGACGGCAGCCATCAAGATGAACTTGAAAACATTCAAGAACGGTTTTATTCGCTCGCGAGTAAAGTCGAGAACATATCAAACGTGGCGAGTACTTCGCAGTCGATAGTTAGTGCTGCAAACGATGAAACGCGTAGCAACAGTACATCTGTAACAGTAAAAAAACGACATAGCAAATTTCCAGAAGTGCCATTGCCTATATTTGATGGCAAATACGAAAACTGGTTGTCTTTGTCTTTCAAAAACGCGTTCAGTAATATGATAAGTATCATATTACCCAAACGGACTTGTCGGACGTAGACAAACTATGTTACTTAAAATCCGCGTTAGTTAGCGACGCAGCTAATAAGATAAAAATCCTCGCTATTGACGGGATAAATTACACGAATGCCTGGGAGTTGTTGGAGTATTAATCTCGCGACATTGATTTCAATGATTTTAGACGGTATTTTATGACGGTATTAGATAGGGAAACAACCAACGGCTTATCTAAACTCGCCGGCGATATAGAACAACATGTGGTTGCATTGAACGCCTTAAATGTCTCCGTCGGATCCGAAATGTTAGTACACATTATGGAAAGTAAATTACCGAAAACTACGTTAGAAAAATGGGAGGCGAGTTTGGAGAGAGACGAATTCCCAAAAATAGATCAAATGTACGAGTTGCTGTATAAAACCGCGGTTTGCGCGTCAAGACGCGAGAAAGCCAAAACAGCAGGTTTTGACAAAAACGTAGCCGAGATTTCCGTTAAAAAAAGGCGAAATTATTTCGAATCAAACATCCTTACTAACCGTGCCGCGCAAGTGCATAGCTTGTCACAACAAAAGACATCCGCTTTATCAATGCGATAAATTCAAACAAATGCCCGTATTTAAAGGCATAGAGGTAGTGAAAACCGCAAAGCTTTGTTACAATTGCTTGCGTTCGCATTGAGACAGCCCTTGTAAATTCTCCAATTGCCCAATTTGCCAAAAACGACATAATACGCTATTGTATTGTGACAAATATGCAAACACTAAAAAACCAGATATGACGCAACCCACAACTAGTAACACAGCATGACTAGTCGATCAAAGTCGAAGGAGAAATGTAAGTCTCGCGACCTTATCACCTACCTCATCGCCACAATTGTTAACGAGTGCGATGGTGTATATTCGAGATCGTAAACATAATCTGGTTAACATACACGCGTTACTAGATACGTGCGCCTCTGCAAATTTCCTTTCGGAAAATATTGTGAAACGATTAGGCTTACACATAGTCGCATGCTCGACGCATATCAGCGCGATTAACACAATGTGCACCGAATCCAAAGGTTTGATGAAATTAACGATACAGTCGGTGATTGATGATTATTGCAAAGAATTAACGTGTTTGACGATACCATCCGTTACAGACTTAATTCCGTGTAGTATATTTCCACGTAGTTCGATCAATATACCTGCAAATATTAGATTGGCAGATCCCGAATTTCGCTTGCCACGATCGGTAGATTTATTGATAGGTTCTGCCCTTATAGAAATATCATACTAAGAATCATTGATAATTAC